GAGCCGTACGGTGGGCGAGGTCGCAGGCGGGGTCGGGCAGCCTCCAGGGTGCGTCTGCAAGCGGGAGGGCGGGCTGATCGCTAGTTTGTTGGTGATGTCTAATCCAGTGGCCCGGATCTGTTCATTCGTATCGTTTTGTTCCAACCTGTTTAAGTGACTTTATTTTTATCATCGCCGAAATATTTATAAGAATGCCCTCTACTCTCAGATATCCACATGCGACCGGTGGACAGATTTCCGCCACCGTGATCGTTCCCGCCATTTGGCTTTGAGAGTTTGCCTCTTTCTGTTGTTTTTATTCTTGGGTTTCATCCACGGGATGCATATTAATTTTGAAATGAGATGCCAAAGCAGGCTTTTTAGAGCCAAGAACAATGGGGTTTTTAAATTGCTGCTTGCCCAGTGTAAAAAAAAAAGTGCCTGATACCATGAGGGACTCGACTGAGTGTTCTCTTCTGCTTTTCATCTCCTGATCGGGTCGACTGCTCTGCTCGGAGTTTATGGAAATGTCAAGTTAGCTGCGCACACTCTGTGCGGCTCAGCTAGTCGGTAGTCTACTCATTTGTTTGCTTTTTGGTACTTTGGGGTAATGTCAGTCCCTCTCCGAAAGCTCTCGTGGCCTAAGATGCATTATTTGGGGCGTGGAAACGTTGCAGGAAATTCAGCTGCCAGGGTCCTGAAGAGGCCTGGTTCTGGTGCTCTAGAAAGCCTCCTTGACGTTTACAGTACAGTTTGGTCCTCCGCACTGCTTCTGTTCAGATAGGGGCGTTTTTGCTTTGACTTAAAGTAGGAGGTATAAAGTCCATTGACAGAAATTATTTGCACACTGGTGGATGCTATGAATTGTTTAACTTTCTAAACAGCAGCGCTTCATATGTAATTAGATTTAATAAGGTATTTTTGAAATCAGTGTAAATTTTTGCATGAATGAGACTAACTTGTAAAAATTGACATTTAAAATTTGTATTAAGTGCCCACTCATTTCTGTTCTTTTCATGCCTTAATAAAGATAGCACATTGACCATTTTTATTGTAATTTGGCCTTGCATTTTTTCTATTGCTTAATATATACTATAATTATAACATTACAGTCATATTACATATGATAGTTTACAAACTTGACCAGCTACACTTACTTGTAAACTAGTAAGTGCTTAAAATATACTTAGCAATCATAAGATTTTTTAATGTCTAGATCAAGAGATACTGTACCTTAGTGTTGCAGACTCTTAAAATATATTTGTCAACTTCTTCCTGAACTTGAAAAGGTATTGAAATATACTTTATTTAAAACAGAACTGTGATAGACAAGAAAAAAGTTTCTAGTATCAGGACCAGCAAGATACTAGCTAAGAATAAGGCTACCATTTTCTTTTTTGCTTATATATCCATATACTCTAATCATTGCATCTTTTTTGGTGTAGAAGGCTTTTCTCCAGAAACAGGCAGTCAGCATTCTATAATAAGGTGTAGAAATTATGAAGACTGCCTCATTCTTTTTTGAGTTACTGTATCTCAAAATTCTGAGTAGTTTTAGGTAGAGAAATTACAAGCCCTGGGTAGCAAACACTTTGTTCTTTGACCCAAATTTTATATGCTAAAATTAAAGTCAGCCTTCAGGATAAGTTAAAGCAGAAAAATGGGTCATAATGACAGTGTTATTTCAACCTCTAGTGGGCATTTTTATTAGAGTTTTTTTATATTAAAGATTATACTATCTTTTCTCTAAACACATTTTTAAAAGGTCTGTTCTTAGATGCACACGTAAGTTTCTGTCGTGCATAAAACCACTCTCTTGGTGTCACGTCTGTTACTCTGTTTTCCCCACCTCTCACTCTGCACAATAGGCTATACATTATTTGCTTCATTCACATAGTTGGAAGTAGGAGGGATGAGGAAGAGGCAGTTTGTTGCACATGTGCTAAAACCTCCTCTCCTGGACTGACTTTCATGGCTTGGAGACCAGTGGCCTCTGCCCCTGTTTCTACTCTCCAGCCCCCATCCTCTTTCACAAGTTTGGCTAGCTCCTGGATGGAGAAAGTCTGTCTGCAGAAACATGTGGTTTACAGTCATGCATATGTACATTCTTCATCCCACACAGGAATCAGAAATTCTTATATGCTGATGTGCCAGAGAAGAGAACTGGAGCTACCCACCTTCCCTTTTTGACTCCAAGTTTAGGTCCAAACCACTATCTTGCCAGGACTGTTCTCTAGAAACAAATTCTTACAGGCTCTAAACTAAACAAGAAGAGTACCAATGAGTGGTCTACAGTTACTACTTTTAGTTTTGAGCCTGCTGTACTTTTCCAACTAACAAATGCAAACAAGACTTTAAGGCAATCTGATTACAATGTAATGCATTGAGATTAAAAGAAATGTGTCAAATGTAGAAAGGAAAGCATATTGGAAAAAAAAAAATTCGTAATCCCACCACCCACTGTTATTTACTATCATAATTTGATGAATGTTTCTCATATACAAATGTGCACTCTCTCTCTCATACACAGACACACACACACATTCATTTTAAAAGAGAAATAGAGCCAGGTGCGGTGGGTCAGCCTTTAGTTTCAGCTACTTGCTAGGATGAGCTGGTGGGAGGATCGATTGAGTTCTGAAGTTTACGGCTGCAGTGAGCTATGATCGCACCACCCCTCTAGCCTGGGCAGTAGAGCCATACCCTGTCTCAAAAGCAAATAAATAAATGTAATAAAACAAAAATAGGATCATTCTTTGTTTTCTGTTTTTAATGTGCTGTGTAATTTAATGTCTTTAATGCTGGACTGCTTTCCTATATGGGAGTTTTACAATAATCTTTCTCCTTTCAAAAGCCTTAATATGATTTCATTTCTCATAGGTATCTTGTCTTATTGTCTCCAGTTTGCAAATTGAAGCACAGAAGGATTAAGTAATTTGCTCAAAGCCACATAGTGAGAGGTAGAGCCCCAGGATTCAGGATTTAGTCAGTGAGAGGTAGCGCCAAGGAACTTGGTTCTAGAACCATTCTCTTTAACCATAGTATTGTTTTGCCGAACAAGACTATCTTTCAAAGCAACAAATGGAAGGAATTGAGAATACATAGGGATAGACACATAGGTGTCCTTCAGAAACACAATTTGGGGAAAAGGTTTTTTTTTTTTTTTTTTTGAGTTGGGGTCTCACTCTGTCACCCAGACTGGAGTGAAGTGGCCGTTCCCGGCCACTGCAGCCTCGCCTGCTGGGCTCCGGCGATCCTTCCGCCTCAGCCTTCCAAGTAGCCGGAATTACAGGCGCACGCTACCACGCCCAGCTGATTTTTTTGATTTATTGTAGAGATGAGGTCTCGCTGCCCAGGCGGGTCTCGAACCCGCGGGCTCAGGCAATCCACTCACCTCAGCCTCCCAAAGGCGCGGGATTACAGGTTGAGCCACCGAGCCCGGCTGGAAAACGTTTTAACAGTAATTGCTGTGTTTGAAGAAGAAACCGCATTCCAGAACAAGCAATGTATAGTCAGAGTAGTTTTGCTTAATTTAAGCAGAGGTAAAAATGCCTGATGGTAACACATATCACTGACTATTCAGTGTGGAAGGCGTGTTAGCTACTAAATTCATATCCTCTCTGGAGGTTCTTGGGACTCTGGTTTGCCTTGAATTTAAGAACTCAAATATTGCAGCTATTCTTAGATGACTTTTAAGAAACCTTCAGAAAGTATCACTGTAGGTTCCCTTTTATAGTCATTTTAATTAGTTGACTACAACTTTTGAAATATAAATACTTGGTTTAATTTCAAATCACAATACACTTTCCCCCAAGTGTAGTATATATGGTATATTATGCTAATAAATGTAAATATTTAACAACACCTGCCAAAAATGTATAGTAGCTGCAAAACTGTAGTTGGTCTTCATCGGTGTTTTTTATTATAGTTTGTTTTAATATTGTTGAATTGCTGATCCAGTTCTTTCTGGGTATGTGTATATATAAGCGCACATACACATCTCAGTGACAGAATAATGCATTTTGGATTTATTTTTACTCAAAGGTTATTTATAGAATGAAAAAAAATGATGCATTTTTCTGTGTAGGATGAAACGAGGTGGAAGAGATAGTGACCATAATCCATCAGAAGAAGATACTGCTGAGAAATCCAAGAAACTGAGGACTACAAATGAGCATTCTCAGACTTGTGATTGGGGTAATCTCCTTCAGGACATTATTCTCCAAGTATTTAAGTATTTGCCTCTTCTTGACCGGGCTCATGCTTCACAAGTTTGCCGCAACTGGAACCAAGTATTTCACATGCCTGACTTGTGGAGATGTTTTGAATTTGAATTGAATCAGCCAGCTACATCTTATTTGAAAGCTACACATCCAGAGCTGATCAAACAGATTATTAAAAGACATTCAAACCATCTACAGTATGTCAGCTTCAAGGTAATATTTTAAATACTACTTTTAAAAAATAAAGCATTTTTAGTGACTTTTTTGTCTTAAACCAATGCATCTTCTCATGTCTTTAAAATATTTCCCTTTTTAGGGAAAGTGCTTAAAAATTTAGAATTATTGAATATCTTAGAAACTATTAAAAATAATGAGCATTAAGTAAAATTACTCCATTATAATTATTAATACTCTCTTAAAAGAGCAAAAGCAGCCACTAAGCGTAAATCATTGAGTAAAGCTTGTGAGTTCCATTGAATTATTGTGAACAAATTTTAAGAACAATGTAATAAATAAAAATTGGAAAGATTATAATTGAGTAGAACTTAGCTGCTATTTCTATCCAACAGTGACTGAATGTTGCTTATTGATAGTTTTTCTTTCTTTTTTTTTTTTTTTTTTTTTGAGTTGGAGTCTCACTCTGTTGCCCAGACTGGAGTGCACTGGCACACTCCCGGCCACCGCAGCCTCGACCTGCTGGGCTCCAGCAATCCTTCTGCCTCAGCCTTCCAAGTAGCTGGAACTACAGGCGCGTGCTACTAGCCCGGCTAATTTTTTTAATTTATTGTAGAGATGAGATCTCACCAAGTTGCCCAGGCGGGTCTCGAACCCGCGGGCTCCGGCAATTCACTCACCTCAGCCTCCCAAAGTGCGGGATTACAAACTGAGCCATTGAGCCCAGCCATTGATGGGTTTTTTAATGTGGGATCTTCAAATAAACAGAGTCATAGAAACTTGATGTAAAAGGTTTAGATGAATATACTTTAGAGAGAAATAGGAAAGGGTACATAGAAGAATGCCAGAAAGAACTGTTTGTTTCTTTTTGTTGCTAAAAGGAAGGTATCAGAAGTCATGCAGTGATGGTTTTTTGAGATATCCAGAATAGTTTAAGAAATCACAGTAGAAATTTAAAAATGTACATGGATAAATGGTGTTTTTTTTTTGTAAGGTGGACAGCAGCAAAGAATCAGCTGAAGCAGCTTGTGATATTTTATCACAACTTGTGAATTGCTCTTTAAAAACACTTGGACTTATTTCAACTGCTCGACCAAGCTTTATGGATTTACCAAAGGTATCTACTGGTTTGATTTTATTGTCTGTTACTGAGAAATCCAGTAAAAGCTTAACTTTTTTGTATTGACAGTGACCGTGTAAGAAAAGTAGTATATACGCATAACAGAATGATAAATAATGATAAAGTAGTATATATGCATAACAGAATGATATGTATAGAAAAGTAGTATATATACATAACAGAATGATAAATAAAAAGCCTTCCTCCCTTCCTTCTTTTTTAAGCCAGAGTCTCTATCACCCAGGCGGGAGTGCAGTGGCACACAGATGGCCACTGCAGTCTCAACCTGCCAGGCTCAGGCAATTCTTCTACTTCAGCCTTCCAAGTAGCTGTAACTACAGGTGTGCCACCATGCCCAGCTACATTTTTTGCATTTATTGTAGTGATGAGGTCTCACCATGTTGCCCAGGCAGTTGTCTTGTCTCTGCCTCCCAGAGTGTTGGGATTATAGGTGTGAGCCACTGCACCTGGCAAAAAGTTATTCTTTGATCAACTTGTACTTCTAAATTGGTAGAATTAATGTAAATTAATTTACAGAGGATTCTATAGGAAGTGCTAAAAGAAGCTTAGTAAAACTGAGAAACAAGCATATTAGAAAAAAGAGACACACAGATGCTCCTTTTTGGGCTGTCAGAGCAGATATTGGTGAAGTTAGAATCAAAGAAAAGTAGAGTGCCAGTAAGTATTAAGAGCAGGTATAGCTTACTCATAAAATTTGGCAAGTGTTCTGTAAAGATTTATTCTTGAGCAAAGTTAGTACAGTTTGGATTAACTTACAATTTTATTTAACTTCCTTTTTTTGGGCATAGAGTTAACATATTCATATATATGTTCTGACATGATCTTGTACATAACTAGTGATAGCATCTCTCTTTCTGTCTGTCTCTCTCACAGTCTCTTAAAATAGAAAAACAAGAAGCATACATTTTTTAAAAGGCAACTGATAAAGACCCCTGAGTATGTTAGCTAATATTCAGTAGGTTAGTATCTAACAATAATTTGAATTTTTTTTCAGATTACACCAAAAAATATAGACACTCTTTTAAACACCCAATAGTTTAATTTACTAGAATGATTCAGGAAGGGATATTACTAAATTGAGTATATATTATAACCCAGGTGGTTGTTTGAACGGAATATCAGTTCCAAATATATCACCAATTAATATCAAGTCTTACTTGATTTTTAAAAAGTTGTAGTAAATGTGTTCATCTTGAGAGAAAATGTTTTCTTCATTTGTAAAATTGGCAAGAGAATCTGTACATTTTAACATTTTTAAGATTCTAAGTTAGATCACAGTCCCGGTGATTCTGATTATGATGACTCAAGGACCTCCTTCCTAAGAAACACTGAGTTACGTGGTATAGGACCAACTTCTTCAAGTTTCAAGTGGGAAATGAAATGCTCGGAATTGATTTTCAGTGTATCTACCATAGTTAAAAAATAAATATACATACTTAAACATATGGTATATATAAAAATATACAATATTAAAAGATATGTGGAACATAATTTCCTTTTTTTCTTATCACTGTCTAATACTAATTTGGAAACCACTGGAGCTAGGACTGATGCTTTCCTTTTTAAATGAGTCTAGGATGCTTATACCATTTTCCTTTTATGGCTTTTGTAGAAGATTGAAATAGTGTTGCTATATTTTGGAAATCCTGAGAGAACTGAAGAGAATAAGGGAGAAATGTTTTTGGCCAGAGCTAGATTAGAGAAATAGGGAAAGGAGTCTAATGCAATCATGAGCATACTAATGAAGACATGTGATTGTATAAGATATAATTGAGTTTGATATGAAAGTTATTAACATTTAAGTAGTTAAATAGTTACTTGATCAAGATCTAAATAGTTAACCAGTTATTTAATCACAATAGGAAAAAAGATAAATTAGGGACAATGACCAAGAAGGTAATATTTCATTAGTGCCCTCATCCTTGTTCACTGCTATAGAGAGTGTATAAAGTTAAGTAGTTGGTGATGTTGGCTATGTGGAGGAATGTGTTGGAGCATGTATTAGTCCTTCTTTCTTTAATTTCCCAGGTTCCTTGCCCATTGGTTTTAGCTTCTTAACTCTGATTCAGAGTTACAGTTTTTGAGCATGCTCTAATTCCTATTTCCCTACAGTGGTTCCTTTAGGTCAGATTCTGTGTCCAACGAATAAACTTACGTGTATCTGATAAATTGAATGATACTGGTGCATTTATGGACGAGATATGATAAAATAGAAAGTTGGAAAATATTATAGATAATTTAACATATTTGAAGGAGTTTTAAACTTGGGATTTTATTCAAGTGTGATTTTGATTGTTTTAGAATCAAATTTTGTATGAGTTTCCATGTTCCAAATGAGTCTTTTATAGCTTTTGAATTAGTTGTCATTTTCAATGATTCTGTTAATAGTTATTACTGTTTTAATGGTCATAACTATCAAACAGAAAAAAAATGCAGTTCAGTGTTACAAAACACTAAAGTAGGATTTCCAGATACAGTGAAATGAAATGTCTGAGAGGTGTTCTTGTCTTGGATTCCAGAATTTCTCTTTTTTGCTTAGCAGTGGTTACTGTGACTAGAGACACTCGTTCTAAGGCTTGGTATCCTTTTTTTCTCCCACAGATAAAAAGGCTCTTTTCAAAGATGGTAGTTAGTCACCTCTTTTTACCATACTCCCAACAACAGTGAAGGGGTGGTCCTCCTAAAACAAATATGACTATATCATTAGGGCTCAGATAAATCATGTCTGGTATTATATGGAAACCCCTCAATTCTTATTTCTAAAGATTAAGGCAATTTTTTTTTGCTTTGCTTTTCAGTCTCACTTTATCTCTGCACTGACAGTTGTGTTTGTAAACTCCAAATCCCTGTCCTCGCTTAAGATAGATGATACTCCAGTAGATGACCCATCCCTCAAAGTACTAGTGGCCAACAATAGTGATACACTCAAGTTGCTGAAAATGAGCAGCTGTCCTCACGTCTCTCCAGCAGGTATGTTATGTTTTTTGCCAGACACAGTTTAGTAAAATGTATCGATGTGTTTATCAAATTAAGAAAAGCTGTGATCATTAATCTTGAAAGTGGGTTAATTTGACTATTTCATTTCTTTTACATAAAAATGTTTTTAATGTAATAATACAATACAGCTTGTTTTCTAATTTTGTTATTTAGTATACCATGTGCTAGGAAATAGGTTAGAAAAAAGAGGAAAGGGTAATATGAGGTCTGCTTAAGGTGTCCTGTTAGGCAAAATAGAATTCTCATTGTAGTTACACTCACAGAGTAGGTTTTGGGTCAGAGTAATCATAATTACATTTCTTCTCATTATGTGGAGGGACAAGAGTTGTACTAAGTAGTGACTTTACAATTTTGCATGATGATGTTTTTCCTAAGTTGAATATTGGAGCCTAGAGTCCGTTAAATGGGAGAATAGTATTATATAAAAGCTCTTTCTAACTTGTACAGAATTTTCTGAGCATTACTGCATTATTCGGTGTGAGATTATTTAAATTTCAGATAGTTCATATTAAAAAGTGAGTATAAACCTAAATTTCATATTACCTTTTACAGCTTTATCCCTGACTCCTCCTACTGTTGACATCTTTGCTGATCCTTTAAACTGTTTATTTGGGAAACTTGTTCTTTATGGGATAATAATGTTAAATCTTTCATCTTTTTACAGAACACTTCCTACTTTCTTGTCATAGCTAAAGTTTGTCTTCCCCCAAGGAAATGATTTTCTCTTGGATGGAGATTACTTGCTCATTCTCCCAAGTTTCCCACAAGGAGGATCTTGGTGCTAGGCATGGCTAGGTCTACTGTTGTATTTTCCTAGCCCTCTCTGCCATTTTGGATTATCACTGAAGGTTTATAAAATAGAAGTAAAGAATAGTCTTTGGAAGTTACTTCACATAGGTGACCTCGATCACATTTTACTATCTAATATATAAGCCTGCTATGAGACTAAGGTCCATGCTTCCTAGCTTCATAGTGTAAAAGGTCCTTTGTATCCTGACCTCCACTTATCTCTTTGATCATGTTTTGCTACTCACTCACGTGTAGCTTTTACTTGAGCCCTTGGAACTACAATTTTTTGTTTGTACCTTTGTGTGTGGTCAGTACACTGTAACCTATGGAATACTTTCTCAATTTTGTTAACTCTTCATTTCATCCAGCTAGTTCAGACTTCAGAATTCAACTCAGGTGTTACCTGTTCTAATTCCCATTCTCCATTCTGGTTTAGATCCTCCACCTGTGTATTTCCATAGCACCCTGAACATATTTACCACACTGTATGAGAGTCAAGTTTCCATTTTCTCTGTAAAATTGTGTGCTCATTATTCTCTTTATCCTGGTACATTTCATGTTCATTTATTTTTACTAAATATACACATTAGTTCCGATAGTGTAGTATAAGCTTGCTTCATCCTACCTAATGACTTTTAGGCTAGTTGTTCCAGAAGGGAAGGGATGAGAAAGAATACTTGTAATACTTTTTTTTTTTTTTTTTGAGTCAGAGTCTCACTCTTGTCATCCAGGCTGGAGTGCAGTGGCATACTCATGGCCACCCCGGCATTGACCCGCTGGGCTCAAGTAATCCTTCCACCTCAGCCTTCCAAGTAGCCAGAACTACAGGTGCATGCTACCACTCCTGGCTAATTTTTTGTTAATATTGTAGAGACAAGGTCTCACCAAATTGCCCAGTCTGATCTCGAACCCCTGGGTTCAGGCAGTCCTCTTGCCTCAGCCTTCCAAAATGCTGGGATTACAGGCTTGAGCCACCGCACCCAGCCAAATACTTGTAATACTTTTTAATCAAAGAGTATAACTAGTAGATTTTAATTAACTTTAACATATTTATATATTTCCTATCTATATTTTGCATATTTGAATAGTTTCTTTAAATTGACATTGTGTACTATTTTTTATTCACTTTTTTTTTTTGAGTCAGGGTCTTACTGTCTCTCAGGCTAAAGTGCAATCATGGGTCACTGCAACTTGGATCTCCTGGGCTCAGGCTACCCTTCTGCCTCAACCTCCCAAGTAGCTACAGTCATGTGCTACCATACCTGGCTAATTTTTTTGATTTTTTTTTTTTCTTGGTAGAAATGAGATCTCGCTGTGTTGCCCAGGTTGGCCTTGAATACCTGGCCCGAAGCAGTCTGCCTGCCTCGACTGCCCAAAGTGCTGGGATTACAGGCATGAGCCTATTCTACTTTTTTCACTGAACATTTTATCAATTTTTAAGAATTTCATATAGTCATTATAATTGTCTATTACTGGATCTCTAGGTTAGTATGACTGTTAGTACCTTGCTTCTTTGATACCACATTCCTAATTTTCTTCCTTCCTCTCTGTTCTTACTCCCTTTCCTTTGTTGGCTTTTCTTTTCATTTTTTAAATTTTGGTGTTTCACAGTGTTCTGTACTGGCTACGTTTTTGTTGTTTGCTGTAAACTCTAGCAATGTTATCTTCTGTGGTTTTTGTTAGGTTAATATTTCCTACTTTCTGTGTCTCTGGAACTCCAGAGCTATGTGTCGATCTGCCAGAGGCCCAGTGCTCTACAATGTCTCACTGGTACTTCAGACTGAAGAACTTCCCTTCTCTCCTTTTCCAGATCGTTTGCTCTTCCCTTTTTTTTTTAAAACTCGGTGAATGGCATCATCCGTCTAGTTTTCAGGGACCTGATGAATATCCTTGATTCCTCCTGCCCATACTTCCCATGTCACTTCAATCACCCAGGCCTTGAATCTCTGGCTTTCTCAGTCTTCACCCTAACTATTCTAGTCCAGACCACCATAATCTTTATGCAGTACCCTCTTAACTGATTTCCTGATTTGCAGCTTTGCCCTCCTGTAACCTGATTTCCATGTTACAGCCAGAGTAATCCTAAAATTTTCCCCCTCTACGTTCCTTCAAATTTTCTCACTGTGCTTTAGATACAAATCCAAACTTCTCACCTAGGCTTACAAGGTCCAGTATGATCCAGCCCTTTCCAGATCATATATTGGGTTTCATCTTTTGATCATTCTTTTACTTGTAGACTGTGTTGAGATCCTTCAGTATTTGGAACACTTGTGTTCTCTTTCATGTCTGGATGGTCACACAGGAAATACTATCCTCTACTCTCCTTTGTCCTACTTTGATCACTGTAGTTATTCTGGGAAATCTTCCCTGGTTCCCTTATTATGAGCACCCAGACCATCTTGTTTAATCACTTGCTACCTGCTATCAGAATAAGGATGCCTTGCCTTACCATTCTAGTACCAATGCTCGGCATGTAAGACACTCATTAATTATCAGTTTGAACTAGTGTCCGTTTTGTTACTTAGTATGCTACCTTGTTGATAAGCCAGCATTCGCATTATAGTTCATGTTTGGATACTTGTTTCTACCTTTTAAAAAAATTATTCTGGCACATAGCAGTTTGCTTCTGTTAATTTCTTCCTTAGGAGAAATTCTTATTTTTTTGAGCCAGGGTTCTCACACTGTGGCCTAGGTGGAATGCAGTGGCATGCTCACTGCTTACTGCAACCTCGACCTCCTGGGCTCAGACAGTCCTTCTGCCTCAGCCTCCCGAGTAACTGGGACTACAAGTGCATGCTACTGTGCCCAGCTAATTTTTTTATTATTTTTTTTGTAAAGACAGGGTACCCTTATGTTGCCATGGCTAATCTCAAGCTTCTGGGTTCTAGCAGTCCTCCTGCTTCAGCCTCCTGCTTCAGCCTCCCAATTATAATGACTATATGAAATTCTTAAAAATTGGGATTATAGGTGTGAGCCACCATGCCCGACAGGGTCTGAATCTTTTTCATGCTTCTTGCTGTGTTTTGGTTTTCCAAGTGAGTTATAGGAACTTATAATACCACCACTAATACGTCAGCTTTGTAACAGCTTTACTGAAATATAATTCACATATCATACAATTCTCATTTAAAGCGTACGATGTATTGACTTTTAATATATTGTCAGAATAGTGTATCCATCCCCACAGTCAAATTTAGACCATTTTTATTATCCCAAAAAGAAACCACATATCCCTTAGCTGTCATCTTCTAAAACCCCCATCACCAGCCACCACACCCGGGTAGTTTAAAAAATTTTCTGTGTAGATAACATCTTCCTGTGTTGCCCAGGCTGGTCTCAAAACTCTTGGGCTCAAGCAGTCCTACCACCTCAGCCTCCCAAAGTGCTGGATTATAGGCTAGCCATGAGCCACTGCGCCTGGCCCTTTTTGTGTTTTTAATCTCTCTGACTTCTTCAAAAGGGCTCACATGATTAGATTGGGACTGCTTAGATAATCTCTTATCTTATATAGCCCAGCTGTGCCATATAACATAACCGTAGGCGTGATATCTTATTAAACTCACAGATTTCAAGCATTAAGATGTGGAATCTTGGAGGTCATTTTTAGAATTATGCCGACCACACGGCTCTAGGAATTTTTAAGTGATATCCCAGTTCCTTTAATTTGAATCTTTGGTTACCATTTCCCATGTGTTTCTTTTCTTTTTTATATTAAGCTTTTTGGATTGTAAAGAACAGAGATGTGCTCAGGTGACCTTGGGTGGTCAGGGTGTATTTCAAAGTACTTACCTGCTTTGTGGAGAACAGAAACTTTGTAGTGGCTGAACAGTGTGAAGCATAGATGTCCATTACTCCCTCTTCTGGTGACTCATTCTGGTGATTCAGTTGATCTCTTCTCTGACTGTATTACCTGTCTTTCCTACTGCTGTAAAGCTCAGGCTTATTGGTGGTCTCTCTGACTTGTCACTTCTTAGTTAAGTGTATGAACTTAAGAGTGTCACTTAGCCTGTGTTTGCATTGCAGCTTTGCTATCTTTGGCTAGCTGCTTCCACTTCAACATAGAAATCATACTTAGGTTTACAGACCTTTTGAGTAATTGTGGGATAACATGTCTAGTGCCTGGCAAATCATACTTGTACAGTGAATAGTAAATGAAAATATGATGTATGTTTTGTTACTCTTATCACTGTTTCTAAATGTAAGAAAGAAATGGATTGGATGGGTTCTTTAGTATAGGGTGCCTCTTTGGGGCAGAATTCTTATAGTGGGTCACTTTGGAGATCAAGTATTGACCTTTGTAATGTCATCTGTTGCTAGGATGGTAGATTTGGTCAGTTCTGGTTCCCTAAGTATAGGGAAATACTTAAGAGACTGTTTCCTGGGTGTACTAAGAGCTTCAAAAGTCATATGTGTATTTCCACTAATGTGATTGGGTGGTTATTTTGGCCTCATGTATCTAGTGATGTCTCGGTATTTTTTCTTAGAATTTTGATAAGCTTATTATATTACTATTAGCAGTTGCACTGTTGACCATTTGATGGAAATCTTTATTTTTGTACATATTTTTACTTAGTTACATAAATAATAGTTTCATATGGCTATATCTTATTTTGTTTCAATTAGGATTGGATTTTGATTTTCAGAAAACGTCCTTTGGCTTCTGTTATAGTAATTACATAACTTTTCTTACTTAACCTGTAAATTTAGTGTTAGTAATTTTTTAAAATACAGCACGGATGTGCATAAATGGAGTAAAGCTTAGTAATGATATTTTTTTTGCATATGTATGTACACATATATAATATATACATATATACAAATATGTGTATATATAATGTATTTAAGATTATTTAAGTATATAAAATGTATTTAAGATTATATAAATACATGAAAATATATTTTTTTAATTGCGATGGGGTCTCACTGTGAACTCCTGGCCCCAAGTGATCCTCCCACCTGAGCTCCCAAAGTGCTGAGCCACCATGCCTGACCAGTAATGTTATATTTTTTTAAATGACAAAGTTAGTTACTAATAATTTATTATTATTCTGAGTTGATAAGTTTCATTTCTTTTTTGAGGTACTGGATTTAGAATTGGTTTTATTTTCTTATAGACAAAATTAGTAATAGATTTTAAATGTGGCTTCCCTTCTGCTATAATTCAACTAAACAACTAAATTTTAAATAATACAGTTTTGTGGTAAGGGAAATGTGGCAAAATTTTGTGGGTCTTATTTCAGTGTACTTGAATTTTTGAACAGATGAACTTGTACAAAAACTTGTAAATAATTAATTCCTTTTTCTTCCAAGGTATCCTTTGTGTGGCTGATCAGTGTCATGGCTTACGAGAATTAGCCCTGAACTACCACTTACTAAGTGATGAGTTGCTACTTGCTTTGTCTTCTGAAAAACATGTTCGATTAGAACATTTGCGCATTGATGTGGTCAGTGAAAATCCTGGACAGACACACTTCCATACTATTCAGAAGAGCAGCTGGGATGCTTTCATCAGACATTCACCCAAAGTCAACTTAGTGATGTATTTTTTTTTATATGAAGAGGAATTTGACCCATTCTTTCGTTATGAAATACCTGCCACCCATCTTTACTTTGGAAGATCAGTAAGCAAAGATGTGCTTGGCCGTGTGGGAATGACATGCCCTAGACTAGTTGAACTAGTAGTGTGTGCTAATGGATTACGGCCACTTGATGAAGAGTTAATTCGCATTGCAGAACGTTGCAAAAATTTGTCAGCTATTGGACTAGGGGAATGTGAAGTATCATGTAGTGCCTTTGTTGAGTTTGTGAAGATGTGTGGTGGTCGCCTGTCTCAGTTATCTATTATGGAAGAAGTATTAATTCCTGACCAAAAGTATAGTTTGGAGCAGATTCACTGGGAAGTGTCCAAACATCTTGGCAGAGTGTGGTTTCCAGACATGATGCCCACTTGGTAAAGACTGCATGATGTAGGACATGATGAGTAGCACCTTAAATTCAAGCTAATGTATTATTATAAAAGTTTATTTGCTGTAGTTCTGATATAATCCTACTATTTTGTGGCATAGAAATTCTATATCTTCAATGAGTCTGTATAAGGATTGTTTATTGGGAGACCCATGAATCAGTTTTGGACAGAAAACTCCATTTGTTTCTTTAACAATTGAATCTCTGAAAAAAATTTTAGAAATGTGGTTCAGAAGTGAAAGTAATAGCCAGCTATAAAGATTAAACAGTTTAGTCTGAAGGAAACAAAACCTACATATTATAATATTCAAGAAGTACTAATAGGTTTTCTGAAGTGTTGTGTTCTCTATGCATTTTTTAAAATGTAAACTTGATATTTTAGGGTCTTCAGTTATACATACACCTGTTATAAGGTGCTTATTATAGCTCAGGAAAGTGAGCATTTTGTGAGAAAAATGTAGGATATATTGTATCTAATGAAATGGATTGAATGAATGTTCTTCAATGTTACAAAGCTGTTTCAAGAAAAAGAGGTATGTATATAAGTAATTAACATTTAGAGAACTGATAAATGTCACACAGTGGTTATTATAGAAGGATAATACACAGAGCCAAGATCAAATTAAAAGACAATAAATGGAATAGAAGAAAGGCCGTATTTAACTTTGTATAAACTTTCAGTTTTGCTATGTAATCTGCTAAACTATATAAATTATTTTCTGTGATATATATGTTAACATGTATGTGGCACTTGAGGCATTGTATGTAAAGTAAGGAATGCTTTACCAGTTCTCCTTGGCTTTGTTTAACTTTGTTTAAACTAGTTTTGAAATATTAGACAATAATTAAGTTGAAAAAGTATCTGTTTTAAAAAGCCAAAGTGAAATAATTAAAGATAGAATGTGAAATGTTTATAAATTATTGCCATGAAAGAATATTTAGTCTCCAGTAAATTCTAATGATGGCTCATTTTTCTGTTTTGGAATTATATAGTTACATAAGTAGACTTTTTAAAAATCATAAAAGGAGCACCATTGTACAGTTCAGCATAAACAGTAAACTTAAAAGAGGATATATTTAAGTTCATAATATTTTTGAGTAAATATTGCTCAGTGAACTGGAAAATTTTAATAGAAAAATGTCTGCAGTTTTGTGATTGTTAATTTAGTTAAACTGATACATTATTTAAGTTAGGTAGCATTTTATATTACTTTCATATGAATAAAGATAATCAATGCATTGTAGGATCTATAAAATATAAGTTTTGTGCTACATTTAGTTTTTTAAGATACATAGGCTTTGATTCAGGGCTCTAAGGCTAGTAGATATTATCCTCCCAAGGGAAATTAGAAGTGATTTACTCCCAGTGGAACATATTAATGCTTGAAATGGCTCTCTTCAGTAGTGTGACTTTTAGAAGGTATCTCAGTAGTTAATGAAACTAAGTCTTACTGATCTATTTTTAAAAAGATGACCTTCCTAAGAATAAAGTAAAAGGTGATTTTCTGCATAATCTGTGGTTTTCAAAAGTGATGGTATTCTACCCTGCAGCCACATGTGAGAAGAAAGACTGATCTAGACTTGAAAATTAAAAGCAATTGTAGAAATATTTCCCCTCTTTCTATATAGTAAAAAGCTTTGATTGTACAAGAGATCCTGTTCTAATGGATAAGGTTTTTTTTCCCCTTAAACAACTTCAGAAAACTGAATTTGACAGTACATAATCAGTTCTGCTTACCAAAGCTTTTGTTTGGAAATTTACTTTTTGTACAAATTGAATTATATAAAAATGCTTGAAATACTTTGTCACTTTATAAACTAAATGCATAGTACTTAATTTGTTTATACTGTAAAGTATATGTTAAATGCTTTTACCAATTTGAGAATAAAAATACTTATTAATACTGTTGTATTTTGAACTTTTAAAAAAACTATCCAAACATGTATACTTATTTCACTTTAAAACTAGTTTAAAAATGTCTGTTTTTTAGTTTCAAATCCATTTTGATGGATATAACGTTTAATATTAAACAGTGTTATGGTTCATGGGCAGTTTTGAAGGTACAAGGCTAGGTGTGTGGAATCTTAATTATAAGCTGTGATGCCTAAAAAAGTATGAAATGAAAAATTCATCATGAAATCGTAAATTTTAAAATTTTATAAACTGGTTAAATTAAAAATGATTATTTCTGCATTCATAATGAAATTTATGAAAGACATTATTTAATTTCTCAGTCTTAAAGGGCCCTAAACCCAGCTAGTCTTTTCAGTAGAAAAATGAAACTACTGAAACTATTTTCATCTCCTGTCTCACTGGTTTTCATAAAATAACTTCAATTTATCTTAGTAACCCGTGATATTTTAACTAGATGATCAGAAAAAACAGGCATGATTGAAGATTAAGGCAATTTACTGCATTCCATGAACTTTTTGTATTTATGGACAAGCTTAGGCTAGGAGGAGGGATTAGTAGGAAGAAGGGTCAGGCCTAAACTATGTCCTTTAAGAGGCTATGAGGTACTCTGTACCCCACACAGAGATAGCACTGATCTTTGCACAGACTCCAACTTCCAGTTTATCAGCGGGACGGGTTTTAGTGTGACTAAGCAGTCAGGAAAACTCCACCTGCCTGCCAGCGTTCATCATTGGAAAGGAACTGTGGTCCCGGGTAAGTAAGAACTACCAGAAGGGCCTGTTAAACTGGATAAGACTTCCTAAGACTTGATTTTTATCCTGATTTTTAAGAGCCAATGTTGATGGGCTCAAGATGCTTAGGGTTCAGTAGCTGTTGTCACCTTTTGACTGTTTTCCTCTACCTGCAACAATATACCCACATGGTGAGTGTAGTTACCCAATACAGGATTATTGAAAGGATGCATTCAAAGTTAACCACTTTATGTTATGTTGCCTTTTGAAGTTGCCCAAAAGGCAGCAAATTCATGCATGGCCATGTTTTGGTTTCCCAGCTGCCATTTTGGAAGCATACTCTTGAATCATTTCTTCTTGATAGCTACTCCATCTGGTAAGCACAGTTGGCAGGTTTGTTAAATTCTTAAGTACTTGTATGAATGCTGTGCTCTCTGCGCTATAGTCACCTGAATCTACATGGTACTTTCACAGAATTTCCTCATTTAATATTTTTAGGAACAATGAAAAATCTTGACTGCTTTTTAAACATAACTATTAGAATTTTGCTTTAGAATCAGGTTCCATGCACAGATGTCCTCATTTGTTTCTGCTACGGAAGCAAGTTCTTTGATTTGCAGTTGACACAGACTTGGTGCAAGAATATTTGCTTGTCACTCCAACAAAGTTCTGGAAGTCCAAAATACTGTATTCCCAGAGCAGTTTTCCCAACTGGTAGAATTGGTGTTGCCCATGTTTACCACTAGATGGTGATAATGCAAAATTCAAGTTTTTCTGTGACATATTTTGAAGACTGTTAGCAGGTTAAAGAGTCAATATGAATTAGGAATGTTTAGGCATTGTTAAGAGTAGACATGCTAAATGGGAGGCAGTGAAAGAACGTTCTCCCTCTGGCTGAGGCAGACTATCTCTGAGCAGTAGGCAAAATGGTGTAGTGCAGTGCTTCTCAAGCTGTGTGTGGTGACTAGGCTTTTATTTTTAGACTTTGAGGAGCCTACGGTTTTGAAAAACAATAAAAATAAGTGAAATAAGACCAAAGACATAAAATACAAGTCCCAATTTTTAATTAGATCTAACAGAAACAAAATACTCCAATAAATTGCTTTCAGTTTATAAATACTGCCTGTCAATATCTGTCCTCATCTCCTCACAGACCAGTAAAATTTGGTTGACATGTACTGGGCCTGAGGACCACACTTTGAGTAACACTAAAAAATGTGTATAGTGTATGCAATTCAGTCAGCAAAACCTGGGTTCAAAATCTGACTCCATTACTACTAGCTGGGTAGCTATGGAAAGACCACTTAGCCTTACTAAGGCCCAGTTTACTCATTTGGATCAGGAAAATAGTATCTATGGTTAGGCTTTTTATGAGAGCTCAATAATAATGTGCTAACCTCTCAGGAAGCACTCAAATGTTAACTGAAACTGAATCTTATAACTGGTGCATTTACACATTAAACATGGGTTGTTTTCTCTGATCTCTGCTCCCTCATCTTACTGACTGGTGTTTTTTCCATGAATAGAAACATTTCAGTTGATCATCAAATACATAAAGGACTTTGAAAGCTTGTCAGATGGGACTGATTGAAGCATAGTTATTTGGAGATCTTAACAAAAACCTGTCTTCTGAGGGAAGGCCCCCTCTTCCACTGCGCAAGCAGCGTCCATGGGAGAGAGAACTACAGGAAGCAGTGCAGGAGTCAGATGCATCTGCAGCCAGACACTTCCAAGCCGCAGATGCTTGAAAAACTAATGATGCACTACACTACTGCTCAAAGTCCAGGTGATTACAAAGCCCAGGAAAGGCTGGCACATAGACTACACTAGGCAAGGTCAAGGATAGCAATTTGGATTTTGATTAATCATTACGGTTGCCATTCGCTGTAACCTTACTATGCCCCAAACGTACATGACTTCTTTTTTATTTTTATTTATTTTTAATTTTTATTTTAAAGATGTGGAGTACAAGGTTAGGTACACAAATATTCAACATGTGTGACTTCTATCTTTACAGCAATCCTGACAGATGAATCATTTGAGAGAGAAGGAAACAAAGGTTTAGAGATGTTAAGTTGCTTAAATAACAAAGCCGGTTACCGGCTGATTCCCAAATGCTAGCCAGAACTTTGTGCTCTTTAACACTGTATCTATGACATCCGTAAGCACAACCCCTCCAGTTCTGGTGTCCAAACAAATTTTTAAAGGTAGGTAAAGGGAATGCAAGCAGCCTACTAAAACTGGCTCCAGAGTTAAAATAGCTGTCAGTCTAAATTACCAAAAGCACTTACATGAAAACGCACTAACTACCACACCAGAAAAAGTTGTTGCCACCATGAAAATGTCACTGAAGGTATTTTTAAAATCTTGGCATACCATATCCACAACTTTAAAATATTGGGTCCCAAAAATCCTAAATATCTGATTTGAGCCATAATTCTCCACACTAACAAAGGCTTGTACATTGAAATAAAAATCACCTAACTAGCTCACTTTGGCAAGTAAGAGTTTCAGCTTCTTTTCAAGAGAAGAATCCTGAGACATTGATATGCAGCATTCTGCTGATGTGTATTTTATCTTTCTGCCCCAAGGGGGAAAGGCTAAAAAATCCACACACGTAAAATCATCCTCTAAAAACAGATGCTGGTGGTCAGTGAAAAAAGGATAGTAGAATTTAAGGTTTATAAACCAGAGAGTGTTTTGTTTATGTTAGGTAAAGGGACTTCTTCATATGTTATTTTAATAAAAGGGAATTTCATAGGTAAAAACCAATATTCAAAATTATAAAACAAATAGAAGTGTCTGTGCATAATCACTGCATCAAAAATTTGCAAAAGACTCAACAGAAATTCTTTAGTTGACAAATGTGGTTTGAAGGGGTAATAAAAACTTTTTATGGCTAAAGCAAGAGTCTTGTTTCCTGTTGCCCCAAAAATAGATGTTTCATTTCCCAGATAAGTAGGTTCTCCACTATAAAGAAATATTCTTGTATAGTTGGTTTCTATCTTCTTGAACTCTGCTCCAAGTTCAGCCAACTTCATATATGTCCTTAACACAAATTTGGAACAGTCGTAAGATTCAAACCATGTCTCTGCCCCTTTTTCTGGGCTGGCTTGGACAGTCCATGTCTCATAATAAATCCCTGTTTCATTGTCCTGTTTTACCCACTTTGCCATTTTGTTGAACGTGTTTCCTAGTTAAAACAAAAAACAAAAAACCACCTAGTGAACATAAAGCTACTCATGTTAATTTTAAGTAACATTCTAACCTGATTAAGACCATGGATGCACATGAGTAAACTACAATTTTGAATTTCCAAACCTGCATTTCACAACAGGAATCCAAATTCGATCAATTTGTACTCCATTCTTCAAGGCACAAGATATTTCTGAATTATAAGCATTAGACATGCAGGTGTATAAAAAGAAGGCTTATTGACTAACTTGATGATCATGTTAGCTATAGTCAGAGTGAAATGATGCATATGCAGGAGCTTTTTACCTCTCTCACCGAATCTGGATTCAGTGGGAAACGAGAAAAGGGAAGCTAGGAAAGAACTGTGGAAAAGGAAGAGGCGAAAGGGCAAAGGCAAAGAGTGAGTGAAATGGGAGCTCTCTACTGCAAAGCATGGCGTGCACGAGGAAGAACAGCCACCTGGGAGTAGCCACTGCAGGAGTCTGGCTACTAGTATCAAGGACAAGCACTGCACCCCCCCACCTGGCATCTCTGGTATTCCCTTTTCTCCCTGTACTTGCAGCCGTTGGGATGCCACTGCTGACCCCACCCACCATACATTCTCCCAGTGAGTCAACTAAACTGGAAATGGTTTTGGCCGATTTCATGAACTACACAGACTCCAGGGGGGCAAACCTTTATCCTACCACCTTGTACCAGACAAAAAAACCTCTCCAAATATTTAGAAAACACTGTACCCTGCATGGTTACAATGCTCATCTGGGTGTTTATATGATGACTAATACCGCTGGCAGCCAACATTTCATTTTATCACTGTGCAAACCTTTCTTTGGGTATCCCAACTTGAGTCCATAAATAAATACTTCATGCTCTATAAAATGAGTAGAGTGGCTGCCCCTATCAATTTTATGGAATTGAAACTGGAACAGAATAAACCCTGTGTTGTTAGAAAAAGGATATTGCTCTTAGTTTTTGAACTTTGAATAGTCACTGTTGTACTTCAGAAGTAAGAATGCTTCAAAACACTATTTTGTAACATAAGAATGGCCAATGAACAGGAATAATCACAAGTGGATGGATGGCTTAAAAGACTAAGTACTGGCACATTACAAACTATTTTACAAAAAAGAGTGACCACTTGTTCATATGATCATTGATTTATGTCACAAGGGAGAATTTTCATATAATGACGCAGGTGGAAATGGAGAATGATGTAAGCTGGCCTGGATGAAAGAAAGAGCAGTTATTGATTTTACTGAGGACTATTAGAAGAGAGATGGACTTTCATATTGTTGGGACGATTTGGGACACATTGATTCGAAAATGGGAAGAAAGATTAGAAAACAGCACAGTGTATTCGTTAAAAGATGCCCAGGCTACATTAAGTCAGTTGCAGACCTAGTTCTGTAGCATCCAGCTTTACCTGAAGAGACAGGAGTCACATTATCTGGCTGAGCCTCAATCCCTATGTGTAGAAGGAAGAAGAATACCTCACCCTCTCAACAAAACTGAGTGAACACACTTCAAAATGATTTGTGAAGAGCATATAAACAGAAAGCATGATCATTTCCTCAAGACCTGGGGCTCGCTGCATAATTATGATCACAAATAGTGCTTTCAGATGGTTTCCACTTTTTTGGAGAACAGACATTTATAACATAATGCTCTATAAATCATATGGGCAAGCTCCTTACCTCTAAAATGCTATGGTGGTATCAGCACCATTCTACACATGAGGCAATAGGCCACTAAGGTAAAACGTGACCCAAGTTCATTAACAAGTTACTGATGGAAATTCTGCCCAACTCCATCACTAACCAACAAGGCAGCACATGCAGAAAAATCCCAACTGGTTCAGCAACTTTTCAATACATACAAAAGAATAGAAAAATCTCAGAGAGAAAATACTGAAATTGCTCAAGGGGGCCTCAAATATACATTTTGGGAGGCAAAGTACCAATAGTTAGGAGAATGGCCTATGGAGCTTGACTGCCATGGATGGAGTCCCACTTACTTAGCTATGTAACTCTACCCTCTGTGTGCCTGTTTCTCCATTTGTAAAATGGGGGAAATAATAGTAACTATCTCAGGGGGTTGCTGTGATGATAAATGATGTCATATGTACAGGACTCATTAGTAGCTATTATTTTTCTACATAAAAATATTTAAATTTATCAACACTAGAATATTCTTCAATACAGCTAACATCTCCTTTGATTTCCCATCACTATGTTACTTAGAAAGCCGTATATCATTTTACTAAGTGTTTTGCCGTTTCATTTTTACCATAGGAATAGAACAAGAGATGAACTACTACTCACCAAGTTCTGCATGAGTAATAGTTTGGATCTAAGTTCAGTGGTTCCAGAAGCGTTATATAAATGACCTCCAAGAAGTAGAAATTTTCATTTCTTTCATTTGGATTTTGATACAATCATCAAATATTGCCATACTTTGAAACTTACCTGATATGGTTGCCACTTGAACTAATGTCCCATTTTCCTTCCAGTGAATATCATCAATTCCTTCAAAGAAGCAGGCAGCACCTTGATTACACCAGAAGGGAGCATTCATTTCGGGCCGAAGATGGGGAAATGTACAGTTGCCAAGTTGAAAGAGTTCATACCATTCCATGGTATAGTTCTTGCCAGTTAATGTACTCCTGAATCCAATGGCATCGTGCATAATTTTCTGTGTAAAGATAATACATGCATGAAAGCATTTGTGAAGTAACCATGGGTCCAGCCAGGTAACCTGAGGAAGAAAATGGGCACAAAGCACAACTATCAAGTAGAACAACTATTCAGCAGTTCCTCTTCTGTATTCCACTCTGTGGCCCCTCAAGCCCCAGGTCCTCATCTACTCTAGCTCTGTCCACTGCATCTTATCTCAGATAGAACAGGCTCAGAATTTCCTTACAGCTTAGAAACAGTATGAGAAGATTCCATGCCACAGTCACATGAAGGAGCCCTATATACCTCACAAGGTGCTGAGCCAACCCAAAGCACCTAAACAGGGCCCAGAAATCAAGAGGTGTTTCCTACCTGTCTTTTCTCTCTTGGCCTCCTCCTTCCTTCTCACTTTCCAGGAGCTGGTAGAGGAGTTGCATTCAGATTCATATATTAAAAGGGATTAAAGTGATGACACTTGCTATTGTCAGGATTACAAACGCTGATGACTATTTTTGATGACTTTATTTATTGATATTTTTAAAGAGACAAGGTCTCACTCTGTCACCCAGGCTAGAGTGCAACAGTGTGAGCATAGCTCAATCCTCAAACTCGAGGGCTCAAGCAATCCTCTTGCCTCAGCCACCCAGGCAGCTGGAATTATAAATGCATGCCACCATGCCCAGCTTGACTACTTATTTTAAATACACTAAGAGGAATAACGATAAACATGATCTAAAATCATCGATTTTAATAATCATTATTCTTTCAAGTTAATTTTTTTTGGAGTTGGAGTCTACTTTGTCACCCAGACTGGAGAGCAGTGGTACACTCATGGCCACCGCAGCCTCGACCTGCTCAGGTGATCCTTCCGCCTCAGCCTTCCAAGTAGCTGGAACTACAGGCATGTGCCACCATGCTCAGCCAATTCTTGATTTATTGTATAGATGAGGTCTCACCAAGTTGCCCAGGCTGGTCCTGAACCCACAGGCTCAGGCAATCCTCTCACCTCGGCTTCCCAAAGTGCTGGGATTATAGGCATGCGCCACCTCGTCCAGCCTTCTCAAATTAAGTTAATAACTAAATCATCCAATTAACCAAAGTTACAACATCAGAATGCATCCTTACCAAGTGTCCCAGGAGGTCTCCATATTTAAATTCCCATACTGGGGTTTGTAATCGAAAGACTTCAATGACATCATCACCCTTCATCACCGGAATGGGTGAGCCAGTTGGGCAGAAAGTGTACGTTGCTTGACAGTAAGGATCAGGTTCTGGACGGAAGGAAAAGCGTCTAATGAAGAAAAAGAAACCATCAACTTAGATCCTAATAGGAATTTGGTTCTCACACATTTTAGAATCCAGATTTTAATTTCACCATCAGTAACATTTTTAGGGAAAATATTCAAAGCTTAGAACAGAGCAAATAAATATAAACTTACATTTTATTGGTTATCCTGTGGACAAACTTCCAATGACATCTTTTAATAGCAAATGATAAATTAAAGACACTTTGATAAATGTAAGTTTCCCTGTTCCTAATCCCACTGTGAGAATTTTGAAGAGAGGGACCATGTCCCAATGTTTATAGTTCCAGATCTTATTATAGTAGACACATACAAATGTTTGCACGATAAATATTTTCCAACATGTGTATCTATACATTAAGATTATTCAAAGATAATTATGATTAAATAGAATATATTTTGTATTTAAGAATTAACCAACACATTCAACCAGTATTTACTGAAGACCTATAATCTGTAGGCGCTATGCTAGGATGGAGAGAAACAAAAATCAAAACGCTGTTCCTTCCTCAGGGAGCGTTGGGTGGAGCTGGGAAGACATTAAACGAGTAATGAGGTGCAGTGAGGTAGGTGCCACACTAAAGAATTGAATCCTGTGGGTGCAACGGAGGAAGAAATCATTTTTGCCCAGTCTGGGACGCGTAGGGGTGGGGAGAGTAAGGGGATGAGGGCTTGGCCTAGGTTTTAAACGTGATGGAGGAAGGTTAGGACAGAAAAGGAGAGGAAATGTTAAGTATGAGACAATGGCCCAGGTGAAGGGTTTCCAGTAGGTGCAGGCCCGGGCAGAGAGAGGAGAGCTGGCAGGGTTGGTATTTTATCACTAAGAACACCTGAGTGGCATCCCCTGGAGTCCTACAACTGGGAGGGCTGAGCTTAAGGGAGTAAGTCCTGTCAGTAGCAGGCCTGATGGTCTGCTACAAAGTTAACCGTAGTTTATGAATCAGTAGAGGGTAGGGTCTCCAGGCTGATGACAGTGGCCAGACTAGGTGACCAACCTTCCCGGCTTGCCCGGGACTGAAGGATTCCCAGGACCGGGGATCCTTAAAATTGGAAAGTCTTGGGCGGACCAGACCGAGTTTCTCACCCTGTGAATTGTACCAAACGTTACACAGTAATCACTAACGACACAGCAACAAATAAGTAATAAACACGGTATTTAAATAGTCTTTCCAAACTACCCAAGGAATCAGTTCCTTGAACCTAAAAGTCATCCCATAAAATAACATTACTCCCCTGCTCTTCCAGGATTCAGGACCGTCCTGAGCCTGGCTCAAGTGTCCCAAGACTCCCGATTCTCAACTTTGTCCTAAGCCGCGCTCGGACGTCACCGCCTCCGCGCTGTCGCGTGACAGGACACAAACAAGGGCGCGTGGGCGCG